GAATCTTGTAATACACCATGCACTATCTCTTTTAAGAAGCATAAAATTCATATATAAAATCTTATCACTTGATGTCTGTCTTGTCATGCTTGTGAATAGTTTGGCAAAATCCTGAAAAATATATGCTGCTTAGTATACAGGCAATAGATTATTATTTTAAAGTTACTGCTAAGTTAATATAGAATAAACTATAGACATAAGAACAAAACAAGACCAGTGGGTGAATGACAAAAAAACTTGTGTGTGTGTGCGCACACACACACACACACACACACACAATTTCTCTTACTGCCTACAAAAATTTCAGTGCTCAGCAACATACCTTTATTTGACAAACTCAAAGTTCATACATATTATTCCTTTATGTTCTAGAAAGCTGATTTATATTTGTTAGTTTAATAAAAGCATTGTCTTAAAGTGAGCTGTGCAATGTTTTCCACAATAAAAGCATCTTGTTTTGTTTTTTCCCTCCTACAACAAGTTTATCAATTCATCTTTGCCTATATATTATTAAAGTTAAGAACTACTGCTATGCCAGCAGAGGGAGCACAAAACACATGAGTAGATGCATTTAATTTTACCCAGAATGTTTAGATTCTTAAAGTGAAGTATCTTTAGTTTGCAGCCTTCAGGGTTCCAATCAAATATTGTGTCTAAGTTATGAAGTATCCTACAAGTCATGCTTACTTCCTGGTGACTTATTGCAGGGTTTGTTTGTTTGTTGGCAGCAATATGGAAATATTGCCAGTCCAGGATTCCAGGTTATTTTTGGATTTATCAATCTGCTTCTGTATTCCAAGGAAGCCTTCCATCTAAGAACTAACTAGGCCTGATCCTGCTTAGCTTCCAGCTCATACAAGGTTGGCCAGACAGTTCTACCCAGTGCTGCACATCTAAAATTGTAATTGCCTTTTTCATTGTAACATTTATAAATCAAAATTATTTGCTTAGCAAAGGCAGTATACAGTTGACATAATAACTGATCTATGTGGCAAACTGCCCAGCTCCCAGCACTTTGCTGATATTATTTATATTTTTTTTCAAATTTTAAACCCATAATTAGATGCACAATTAAAGCTAACACATGAGGGAGTATTATTACCTACATAAATACTTTCAAAATGCTACTCCTTCTCAAAATGATTGGAAAGCTGTGAACCTAAGAGACATTCTAAAGTTAGCCACAAGACACACAGGGGAAAAAATCTTGATGAAATTCAAAATCAGTGAGAAGAATGATAGATATTTCACAGAAATATCAGCATTGAAATAAATACTGATCATTGAATGTATTACTGCTTTCTGGTAGACCAGCATAAATAAGTTAACTTGATATGAATTAGAGATTTAGTACTTAAGAGAGAAATGATTTGATCTGAGTTTCATATCCAAGATTCATAAACATGGCAACTTAGATTTGGTCTGTTAAAATAAGTGTCCATGGAGTATAAGAAGAAAATGTCAAAATACCTGTAAGTGCTTTATGTTTTGGTGGATAAAAATACAGTAATGCTAGAATTTATAGGGGGCATTGATTAAACCTTTCGTCTGCTGATTATCTACAATGATGTAGTGCAATAAAATATTGAAATGTTCCTGTCATATCTCATTTAAAAAAATAATATCAGAATTGAGAAAAAGAAGATGCTGAACTGGCTTTGTCATCCAGCAAAGTGCTGAACCAGTGCAACAAGTATCCAATACTACCTTAAAAATAAGAACTTTCAAAGCCTATTTGAAAAGCTCTTATTCTTTCACTTCCTTTCTGGCACAATACTTGAAAATAGTCACTGAGTTGTCCTTGTAAGCAATTAGCTTCTCTGCCTCTGATTACTGGAGTTGGCATATTAGTTGTCAATGTTTGCCCTTCCTGGGAATGACCCCTGAAGAGTTTCCGGCCTTGATTATACAAGGGCTGTGGCTTTCTGGCAACAAGCCTTAGTTAATTAGTTAATTTATTAATACAGGCAACAGAGCAGGCTGACACAGTGAGATACACTGTCTCAGAGATATGCAGATTATGGAGAAAAAACCTGGCACCAAAAATTAGTTTTAATACCTTTGCACTCTCTCTCTTAAATATACTAAATATTTAGACCAGCACGTTTGGCCTTGCACCCATTCAGTGTGTTGATAAATCTTCCCCAATTATGCAGAATTTAAAACTAATCCAAGAATACATACTGTGCCGATTAGCCTAGAGCCCATATTATGTTGAAATCTGAACTGAATTGGGAGCTATATTGGCACAACTAGCACAGAAATATATATTTTTATGACTCAAAAATAATTAGTAAAGCTAAGCTAAGAAAGTGGCTGAAGTCCAAAACAATGATATCTTAATTGACCCTGAAAAGATGTGATTGGATGGAAATTTAGAAAATTCTAAACTTTATTGGCTGCTAACTAATGGTAACATTAGAGTGTCAATACTCCACCAATTAATATTCTCCATATAGGAAATAAATTTGCACCATTGTACAGCCCAGAGTCAGCAAAAACAGCAATCCAATCACTATAGTTGATTTAATGTACAGCTCTGAAGGATATCCCTTCTCTAATTTAGGAATCATGTTTTGTAAAGTGATTCATAGCTGTGAAGCTTTATATATTAGAATATGAGAACAAAGATATAATTTAACAGAAGAATTCATATATGAATTTTTGAAGCACTTTTGTTTAAAAAAGAAGTAATTTTTATTAGTAAATTATATCTAGATTGAAAACCTAAATATCTGATTTTACTGTAATCTACCCCGAATTAAGGGATTACCAGGTCATAAAAAGAGAGTTAGTGTAACCTATAGTGAAAGAATTAAAGGTCATATGATCCAATAGACCTTATGAAGCTTAGTACAATATGCACTCTATTATGAGGATGGGGGAAGAGGGAGAAGGAATTAGTAGAGATTCATTCCCAACAGGCCTTAAATATACAGTATGTCCCATAATGTTCCTCATAATGATACTAAAATTAAGCTATTAAGATTCATTTTTGTAGCACTATACTTGTGACTTCCTTTATTCTAAGTTTCTCCTTCTCAAAAACCTTCATTTCCTATAACTGTTACTGTGGGTTCCTAATGAGAGGTGAGCTGTTATCTCAAAGAATCCCGAGATTCTATGATAAATTACTTTGTTATTCTGCTGTTCTGTCAATTATATTGAGCCTTGCGTATAATTGGCCAGTATATGTCGATAGAATGTTTATGTTGCTTATCAAGAAGGCAAGAGAGAATGCGGTTAGCAGAAAAGAAGGAAATGTGATAGGAGGAAGGAGGTAAGAAACTCTTCTACTACATTGACCAAAAAGTAAATACACAATATTCACCTTTTTCACTGGTTTTAAGATTATTATTTGTGGTTTCTTTGAATGTTTTTTTAAATGTACTAAATGAAAAATCAAAACAAATTAGTATATTATAAGTAATAGCAAGGATGGTACCATTTTAAATGGAATATAACTGAACTTTGGCAACAGAAAAATAAATTGTTATGTTGCTTATTTTGCAATATATCAAATGATCCGGGACTACATCTCAAATTAAATATGAGTATCTCCAAGTCAGTTAAAGTAAACTCTTTTCTGAATCACCAAATTCAGTATAAAATTGGATTTTTAAAATTTATATAGAGCCATACTTTAAATAAATTTTGCACACACTCTTTCACACATACATATAGGTTTATTTTATTTTATTTTAAACTTTGCTTTGTCCTTTGTATCTCCAATTTCAGTAACAAAGGATCTTTTATAGTGGATCAATCCTTTCTCAGCAGACAAATGTTTGAAGAGACTACAAGTGTGTGTGTGTGTGTGTGTGTGTGTGCGTGCGCGCGTGCATGCACACAGACACACAGACACACAGATAGATATAGATATATAGAGTATATACAGATTATAGATATCATTGTATTTGATTCTCAGAGACTTCCCAGACATGTTCCTGCAGTTTTCAGTTTCCTTCAGTTTTCTTGTAGTTTGTCACTGCCTCCCTTCTAGGCCTGAGAGAAAGTGGCTGGCCCAAAATCAACCAGCTGACTTCAAGCCCAAGGCAGAAGTAGAAGTCCGCTTTCTAGCTAGTTACCTTAACCAGTAGACCAAACTGGCTCTATAGACCAAACTGGCTCTATAGACCAAATTGGCAACTATGTATGCGTAGTTGATTCTTATTTTTTTTTACCAGTATAAACAATTTATTAACCCTTAAACAGTTTGCAACACTCAAAAACTTAGATAGCATATGACCTAATGAATAGGAGAAATTTTCCCTCTCCTAACATGTGGACTATGCTTCTTCGAAAGGTTGACTCATTCTCCTTATGTCTTCCATATTTTCTTGCTTACGTGAGAGTCTGGATGACAAATTCTAACTAAATACTTCATTCACAGAGAGTCAACATGTTACAGCTGGGCAACCAACGGATTACAGTGGTCATCAAAGTTAAAGGAAAAAATACACTTAAAAATGTGTCATTTCTTTTCCAAATTTCCCAAATGTCTCTTGGGCAATTTCAAACATTACCTGCTCCTAGCAAGGACAAGCACATCAATTTTGTCTCCTTCCACTGTTGAAAAAAAACTGAAGCAGACCCTCCAAACCACAATAGAATTAAGATAAAAAGTACAATAAAACACTCTCAAAACAGAAGTATGCACACTAAAAGTAGTAGGTGGTGGTTAATGAAAACAAAATATCAATCTTGATGTAATATCTGTGGCCCAGGTTTCTGAAATAAGATATTGGAGTTGATGTTGTACCTTTCTCTGGAGAGATCAGCTCCTAAAACGAATGAAAATTGAATAGTGATGTGCAGATCAAGTTCTTCAGTCTTTTCACAAACATGTTGTGAAAATGCCACCCTGCTCTGTATGTCTTTGATCCAATACTTCTGCCAGTTTGTAGGATTCTGGCAATTATACCTTGAGCACTTGTAAAAGTAGTAACCCCACAAAAAAGTAGAGATAAATTCTTCTATCAGTCAGAAAGCGCTATAAAGAACCAGATTAATATGCACATCATCCAGGTTACGAAACAGACATTGTCTTCACTTTTTTTCCCTGGGAAAAGGAAAATGGGACTCAGCAGAGCAAATGAGGATGGACACCACAGTCATTTTAATTCACTGAGGAAGCTCAGCAGTGCTTTGTGGAACTCCTGAGGCTTATCAAGATAGCAGGCGTGGCCAGCTCCCAACAACATGACAACTTTGGATTTGGGAATCTGCTGAAGACTTTCCAGAGACTGTATACCCAAGTCAGTATCACGCTGTCCATAAATTATCAATGGTATCTCGACCTGCTGATATTGTTGAGCTGTAAAATCTTTTGTACCCACTGGTGCAATAGACACAAAGCCCTTCAGCTGTTCTCCACTAGAAAAGAGGAATGGAATGGAATATCGGCCACTCATAGATGAGCTTATCAAAATGGGCTTCTGAAGGCCCAGCTCCTTGAAGACTTGCTCCAGAAAAGAAATGTGGCCTTTTGCGGTCGCGATGGAGGTTGAACGTGGGGAGCTCCCATAACCAAGCAAATCAATAGCTACTGCACGATAGCCATTCTCTGCCAGCAAAGCCAGTGTTCCTAGAGTCTCCCATGTCTTGGATGAGAAGGACTGGCCATGCAAGAAGACCACTGCCAGCCTTTCAGTGGAGGAAGCCACATCTTTTTGTACTAGCACAGCTTCCCTGAAGAAAACGGAAGAGTGCAAAATTGTCCCTGTCACGATGGTGACATTCCCAGCACCTGTACCCTTCACCTCTTCCTCCATGGCCCGTGGTTTAGGGATGTCTACTGAAGCAGTAAATTTTTCTGGCTGGATTGCAGGAAGCAATAGGTAGAGGACAAAAGTGACAAGGATTCCTAGGACCAGCAGCGCCAGACTGTTGCGGATCAAAGTCATAGTCATCTTTTCTTTTTGGATTTCATCCAGTAGATGAACTGCAGACTGAATGTCCTTGAAGATGTAGGTTTTCCCCTGGTACAGAACCTTTAACTTTGCAGGGTACAATACATAGGCCTGAACTCCTTCCGTTAGGAACTGTTGCTTGAGAGCCACAAAACATTTCTGTCGGGCATATGTCAGTGGGCTGAGATCAGGAAAGAAGGAAACCTTGTGTCCATGGAAGTTTGTTGTACAGGATGTCTTCAGTATTTTCTCCCAATGCCGCAAATCAGAAAGAGTGATTAGTACAGTACTACCATTACCCACCTGGGCATTATTTGCTGGGAGACGGTAAGCACTTTCTATACAGATGGGAGCCTGTTTGCCATTTAAATCTAAGGCAGCCGGTAACAGATTTTCTATGAACGTGATAAGGTCCACATTTCCAATGGCGGCTGGGATACCTGTGACCCTCAAGTTCCGAGCTCGCAATTTGTTTTCTAATGTCTCGAGCTTGTAGTCAGCCACCAACTTTCCTACTGCATAGTTGATTCTTAACGCCAAATTATCTGTAATTATATCTCTACATGTATGCATATGCAATGTGTGTATGCATAAATGCATACACACACACTTGGTTTTTTCCAAATGAATATGGGAAAAAAAAATATAAGGGAAACATTTCAGAAGAAAATTAAAATAGTTATGCTTGTGACATAACCAAAACTGAAGAGTAAAGAAATGCTGAAATATGAATGTCCTTTTTCTCCTGAATATGAGTAGATAAAATGGAGGTCATATCAGAAATTTAATTCTCTGCTGTTCAGATAATAATATGGCAAGAACATTGGGGAGATATATGACACCTATATTTAGAATTGGAGAAAAGGAGAGAAGACAGTTTCAGAATCATTGGACGGGGACAAAAAGTAGAGAACATTGTAACGTAACAGGTAGAGACTTAGACAGGTCAAAGCCATTAAAAGTGGAGGTCAAGTTGAACAAATCTGATTAACTTCTTCAAGGGAGTGACAATGACAGCTGACAGGAATGAAGCAACAGACATAATCTACTTGGTCTTCAAGTAACCTTTAGCTACAGAATTACTTCAAAGAATAGCACAAAAGGTTAAAGAGGCACTGTCTACAAACCATTTAAGTAAAAATAGAAAACTTTGAAAGTTAATGGCTAAATCAGATTTGAATCTAAATATTTTAGAATCAATACTTTTTCAGACCTTGATATTCACATTTGAAATATAGGCCTCATCCTAGAAACTGCTGGGCAACCGAGTGAGGAAGCCAGCATCAGAAATGTGAGGATGTATATAAATGCAGAGGCCAGGAATAGGCAATCAAATGCTAAAAGCACATACAAGCTTTGAATGTTTGTATTGTTTCCAGAGATTTGAACAGTTTTGCTGTTCTGTTCTTGAGTAATGGAATATTAAACTTTCATTTAGCCATGATTGATTTAATTATATTTTAATTATAAAAGTATAATCTGTGTCTGGAATTTATACTGTAAGTAAACTAGTTACGGCAAGACAATCACTATTGCATTAAATAATGCCACCCAGGGATAACACTAACATTAAAACAATGATGGAGATGGAGGAGGAGGAGGCGATCTTAAAATTATAAATAAATGATTTTTAAAAATTAACTTTTCAGTACCTGCCTATTAAACTCACCTTGTTCTACTCTGTGTGGTACGATTCTCCAAGAGTGCAAAGCTACTATTTCTGATTTAGGCTATCTGTGATTCATAAATGGATATTCCAAATGCAATAAAAAAACAGCATTAGTATTTGTGAGGTATAACTGCCTTAACCATGTAAAATTCACATGGGCACTCTTTTTTATGTACTGACCCAATTCATGTTGCTGCTTGCTATTCCATTTGTTTCAGTATTTATTAATATAGATAAAGCAGTAGAAATTGAGGGAGGAAGGGAGATTTTAAACTGAAAATTCTATAGCGTAATTCTACATAGGCCAGTATAATATGGTACCAGCATATCCTGTCTTATTCTGAAAGTCTGAGTTTCAAGGGCCATTGAACACTGAACATTTGTAATGTTCTGCAATTACAGAACCAATTGTGCTAAATAACTTTGCGCTGTTAGTGCATGCACATGAGCATTTTCCCCATCAACTCTCAAATTTCACTTTCTTAAAACATCCAGATTGCTCACTGGACTGGGATACTCAATGTTTTAAATTACAGAATGATTGCTTCACTCATCTCAAGATGTACCTGTACCCATTTCCTTATCTTGTTGAAGTAGCTTCTGTTTATATTTTCATTTGACATTCAAATATTTTATTTTTACATTGTAGAACAAAGTGGCACAGGATTTTAACACCTAACAGTATATATTGTGATTTAATATAATGGAATGTTTAGGTGGATAAAGGTTATATCTGCAACAATTTAAGTATAAGCAGAAACTTCCCCATGCTTTTTTCCTTTTCTGAAAATGATGACTACGTATTGGAAATGGAAAGAATTGTATTGCAATAATGTAATAGCTAATATTTTGTGGGACGTGATGGCTCAGTGGCTAAGATGCTGAGCTTGTTGATCAGAAAGGTTGGCAGTTCAAATCCCTAGTGCCATGTAATGGAGTTACTTGTCCCAGCTTCTACCAACCTAGCAGTTTGAAACCATGTATAAATGCAAGTAGAAATATAGGGACCACTTTAGTAAGAAGGTAACAGCATTCCATGTGCCTTCAGCATTTAGTCATGCCGGCCACATGACTATGGAGATATCTTCGAACAGCACTGGCTCTTTGGCTTTGAAATCGAAATGAGCACCACCCCCTAGGGAACGACTAGCACATATGTGCGAGGGGAACCTTTACCTTTAATAGCTGATATTACCATTTACTAAGGTGACCAGATTTTCAGATTGGTAAAGAGGGACACCTTTGACCAGGGGGGGGGGGGTGATTAAAAATTTTATACGGAGCAACAAAATTTTTCATACAACGCAAAAATAGTATTGTAATACTTTTTTTTATTTCAACATAACTACAATTTACNGGGAGATCGTTCCAGAAGGCTCTTCCATACAACAAGGCCCTGTGAAATACGTCAGCATGACAAATCTGAATGCCCTTTCCAAAGGTTGTTGGTGGCGATCAGAATCTGGATACAATGGTCTACTATATGAGAATGACCTTGGGAGACAGGAGAACTGCAGACTATCGAATGGTCAGACAAATGGCAGCTAAATCCACAGAAGGAAGGAGGTTGTGGCGAACATCTCAGAAGATACCTTCCCTAGTTTCTTAGACTGGCAAAGTGAGGTGGGGAGAAATGTACAGTACTTTCAGACTCTCAAGATTCTGTTAATATAACCTTACAATGAAAGTTAAGAGTTAGTACTCTGCAGAATTCTTGTCTGCAGTACTCCCAAGACTGACATTAATACAGCAGATAAAGAGGGCCAATTATTCTATCAATTCTAGAGGGTGGGATCTTTAATTATTATTGGCCCTTCAAGCAGTTGCTCTTGGCTATTCAAATCAAGGGAAAGAACATCAGGTGTTTCAAAGGATATTGTTATGGAAATGTGTTTGTTGTTGTTAGTTGCCGTTAGTGCCGACCCATTGCAACCCCATGAACAATGTTCCTCCAGGCCTTCCTGTCCTCTACCATCCTCTAGAGTCCATTTAAGCTCATGCCTACTGCTTTGGTGACTCCATCCAGCCACCTCATTCGCTGTCATCCCTTTTTTCTTTTGCCTTCAATCGTTCCCAGCATTAGGCTCTTCTCTAGTGAATCCTTCCTTCTCATTAGGTGGCCGAAGTATAGCAATATATATTTTATTTATTTGCTCAATGCATATAGTTGTCCATCTTTTACACACTAAGCAGCTTACAATAAAGCAAAAAATGAGAAATAGAAAACAAAAATAAAAACGCATAGCAGTCAGGCACAGTCTAACCTATCATCCATACAACCAGGAGATAAACTCTTAACCTGTGCTTGTGCTCAGGCACAGAGGCAAGTTTTCAACATCTTATGAAAGGCCAACAGGGACAGGGACAATCTAATCTCAGGAGGCATGGTGCTCCAAAGGACAGGTGCCATGGCAGGAAAAAAAAAAGAAATAAATGGTAGGGATTGGTGATGAAATAGTATTTGGAGTACTGCAATCCTATGTGGACTATTAACACATGCTTGCTATATCTGTCATAAGGAAAACTGTACAAACCCAGCAAGTGTCTAGAACAGTCTTTCTTAAGTGGGGTTCCATAAGAGGTCATAAATGGAAAAAAAAAAACCATGGGTTTTTAAAAATTACACTTTGTGCAGTGCTGACGCTCACCGGGAAGGAAATTTTACATCCTGCAACTTAACTACTGACCTGCTGCTTTACAGTTGTTGTGACCAGTGTAAAATGAGGATTGTGTGGGTTAGAAGGAAATTGTATTGTGATGTTCTTGTGGGTTACTTTTAGCACTGCAGGCTACTTCAGCTGACTGCAGTTCTGCAGTTCGGCTGTTCAAATCTCACCGGCTCA